CTGGGCAACTGCCCACCTACCCCTCCCCTAACCCAACATTAACCCTAACTTGTTCTCAATTGACTGTTGTTGAGTTAGGGGAGGGGAAGGTGGTCAGTTAACCAGATACTGATATTGATCCGGATTTACCAATGGTTAGGTATAAGGAGACTGAGCCTGTTGACCTCAGAACGGTTCTGAATGCCTACCTTGTTTCTTTCGAAGATAATGACACTTGGCAGGTAGACGAAACGGGTCGCTCTTGGGTACTGTGGTTAGAATTTCCTTCTGATGATCACGAACAGAAGAGTGAGAACGAGGTGAAACATGGTCTGCAATAAATATTTTTAATTAGACTCCTAACTTTGTGTTTCTAGTAAGTGTAACTGAATAACGTGACTTTATGTGTTTGCAGTTGTACTCCACGAAGTGAAATCTGTGTATCATGTCGCTCTCTTAGTCAGTAAAGTACAGAGTCTTGTCGAACCGACTCGGATGATACACTTGCCTTCTTTCATTTATCATCTTTGAGAAAAGTACGAGGATGGCTCAGCCAACCTTTACTCCCATGTCACGCTTTGTTCAAAATCATACTTTTGAGCGAATACTCCTAAATTTTCTGAGCTATCTTTAGAGTTGCTGTTGCTTCTTAGTGAATGGCCTTTGAATAGATTAAAATCTTGAAATGAAAGTTTCCTGTGAACGGGGTAAACTAACACCAAAGAACTATTCACAGGGGCTCCCTTAGGTCCCTTAACCAATCAGGGAGCAGCATGAGGTAATATCGTTATCACTTACGCCATTTGGATTAATACAGAAATCTGTTTTGTCCATTACACATTTCCGTTGTTCCATCTGCTCGGTTAACCCTTTAACTCCCAGATCAAATTTGTAATTCTTCTTACTGCCAATCATACAATTCTTATAATGTTAGTTCAGAGAATTTAGTATTGGATCCACTAATTATCCTTAAATTGATATTTTTCTTTATTCTCATCACTTATCTGGTTGATATTGTATTGATATTGTAAGGAGAAATCTTGTCTTGGTCACTCATGGGAGTTAAAGGGTTAAGAGCCTATCGGAGCCTCTACTACTTCTCAAAGAGGTCAGAAAAGAAGCACAAAAGAATGAACATGGTTTGGGGTGGAGAAGACTGATAAACACGAATTGCAAACCATGATGTATCTGAATTCTTCAGCGGGAAGTAGAAGAAGCGGTTGAAGCAGACGAGGTGCAGGAACCTCCATTTTCCAAGGGGACACTTCATGTCGGCCAGCCTTATGTGATTAGCATCACTGTAAAGCAGGCTCAAGGGATTCCAACTCAATATACGGATGTATTCTGTCAAATAAGGTGAACTGTAAGATTTGTGTCTCGAGTAAAAAATATTTGCAAACATGCGTTTAGGTATTTCCAAAAATTAAAAAAAAAATAGCCTGCTGGCTTTTGTGACGAGGTTTGGTTATTTGTAGGTTTTTGTGCAGTGAAGAAGATGAAGGATTTTCCACGGAGCCCGTTACCAACAAACAAAATGGCGGTCCTCTGGGTTTCTACTATAATCAAAAGGTATTAGAATTGCATGATAGTTTGACGACTATGTGTTTACTTCGTCGATGTTTGCTTGACTCTTCTTGTAATTGTCTAGACTGTGAACAGTCCCTCCTTATCGGCGAAGTCCATCGCGCGAGGCCAAAAAAGTCAACGAAAAAAAGTGGTGGCTTGTGCGTCCCGGGAAACTCTGGTAGAAAAGCGCCTCGCTCTCCGGCAGAGTTCCACGCGGGGCCCTTTTTTTCGCAAATTTTTTTGGACTCGCGCGGTGAACTTCGCCGAAAGGGAGGGACTGCTCGTAGTCCGATAAATGTTTCTTTCAATGAAAACTTAACGACATAGTTGGACATCCGTGTATAACTGGGGAAAAGCTTATGTCTAGTATTACTATTTTAGAATGGAAGTATTTTTTTTTATCGTGGACAGTTCGACCATATTGCCTGAAGAAGATGAGCCGTATGCAATCGAAACTTCGCGATGCACATCGGAATTGATCACATCGTAAGACAAACAGTAGCCCTATACATTACAAATTCATCTTTCGTTAGCTTCTGTTGCTTTCAAAAACCTGGCAGCCTTGATAGTATAGCTGTTCCTGACGGAAACTTTCAGGAAAATAGAGCAGGTTTCACAGACGTTTTCTCCTTTTTATAACATCACTTTCAACTCCTGTTCTTTGATTCCTTATAAGATTGGCGTTGTGGTAACAAGAGAGTTCATAGACTACATCAGTACCAGGCCCCTGCAGGTTGAAGTGTTCGGCCACTATCAGCATCACCCACAGCATCAGTCAACTGCGCAACTTCCAAGGTTTGGTCAAGGGCAAATTACCCTTACTACTTCAGTTCAAGTAATGAGAATACAGAGTCTTATATTTTAACCTTTTCTGTTGTTTATGGATTAATACTATGTTTTCTGGGCTAGAAATGCTTCCCATATGGTATGTCCATTTGAGGGCACGTGTGGCAGTAGAGCGTCGGCAATCCGTGAGAAGAAAAGAGTAAATTTAGTAAAGAAAACTGTTGTACTTTTTGTCAGGAGCGTGGGAAAAAAAGAAATCCTAGTCGCCCACGAGCACTTGACCCACAGATAATGAAATTTCATACTCTGATGCTCTACCATTGAGCTTTTGAGAACTCTGTGACGAGTTGGATCATTGCTTGATTGATATGTGACAAGTGCCCTGCAAACAGCCAAAACCCACCAAATGTGGAAAGTGTCCTATCTTTTAAAACCACTAAGACTTTTATAACTGAAACTCTCTTGAATTAATTTAACTGCTTAGTATTTTGGAGAAAGATAAGGGAATGGGCGCGAGTAGCTTCTTCTTTAGTGAAGTGGAGATTCTTAACAAGAAAGGTGTTCTTTCATTATTGTATGTTATTTTTGTTCTGTCAGGGCTATAGTGAAGGAAGGAGAATTTAGTTCTAAATATCTGAAAGGTAACAAATGACTCCGTGCCACTTCTTTTTTTTCGGGTTTTTTTTTTTTTTTTTCATGAGTATAACATCTGTTCTTTGGTTAAAACTGTGATACATTGCTCAACAAGCTTCTGTCAGTTGAATATCGATTACTTATGTAAGATCGCTGTGTTTTTTTTTCCTATTTTAGAATCTTCTCCTGCCGTACCTTTGCCATATCAACCCTGGTAAGTAAATGTGAATACCTTAGTATTAGTTGACGCACACCGTTTTAAAACTGTCGCTTGTCTTTGCGTTGTAGAAACAGTTCATTACAATTTTTCTGGACTCAATTGTTTAGAGAAGTGCATTGTACTAATTGTTTCCTTTTTATGGTTCTTCAAATGACGTTGAACCTGTTTTCTGAACACACCAAATGAAGTGTTGTGTATGACCTTTTTTTCTTTCTTTTATAGTGACGAAGAAGGAACTCTTAAGTTTGATTTGTTGGTCTGGGTTGAGGTCTTCGAAATGTCACCGTCTGGAGAGTAAGTTTTGAAATCCAATCTAGGTTTAACTTAATAGATATTTCTGTTTTTAAGAGTTCTTTTTTTTCCTAATGTACATTCATAACCCACCATAATTTTCTTGTTTTCAGCTATTTTCCTTGTGTTGTGAGGCGTAAAAATGACACTCCTTGTGGTGGAGTGTTCCTTCTTCATCAGGTATCGTTTTTTAATACTTAGGCGTAACAAAATTTTCTCGTGATTTATGCCTCTCACTTAACAACTTCGACATCGTTTGCAGACCCGAGGAAGGTATGGGAATTCAAGATAATAACCATTGTTAGTAAATTTGTTAGTAGCCTTGTTTATAATGAGATTATTTAGTGCAAATTTTCTCACAGAGCGATGGTGTTGATGAACAGGCTTTGACTTAGGATTTTTTTTTCTTCATTTCCAGGGAATTCAAAGGCGTCTTGTTGTTACAATAATTCACGAGAACTCTATGGACATCAGAATCAGAAAAGTCACAGAACTTGCTGTGGGTAAGCGAGCTGTTTATTCATGCGATATGACGCCCTTTCGATTTAGTGCTTTTAAGCAAAAACCTAAACAAAGACCGCGGCCAAAGAGAGCAAATGGAAATATCTCAACGAACAACTAATAACTCAACGTAAATACTTGGAACTGGCCGGAAAACTCAAGTGACCAAGTCGTATAGCTTTTGGTCGTAATAGTGGTGAGAGTTTCCTAAACCAATAACATAACGAAGTTTAGGAAAACTAAAGCAATCACTGATGACTTTCGACATTCAATCGAAAAGCTCCCCGGTACTTTCTCGGTATGCGATTTCTGGACAACAGGCCCTAGTAAATGGCTTAGGCTGAGCTAGGAATGTAAGGTGGATAAAGAACTTCTTACTCATAAGTCATATTTTTCCCAACAAATTGCGTAAAACTCGGTATTTGAAAAACTATAAACAGTTTACCTAATAGTACAAGAGATTAAGTACTAGCTTGAGTTTTCCTTTTGTGATCATCCTCACTGCTGCCTCAACGGACTTCCTACTTTGTTCAACGATGATTGATATAAGATTAAAGAGCGCGTGAGAGACTTACCCTGAGTTTATTGGTTGCCTTACAGGTCGTGTACGTACAGCTCTCACCCCTCCCCCTGCTGGGGAAAGTTCAACTCACACCGTTTCACTGAACGTGCTGTCACCCCAAGTCCAGTCCCACCCGGATGAAAACAGATGCGTGTTTAGATTTGAAGCAGCCTGGGACTCGTCACTTCATAACTCCATTTTACTGAACAGGTAAACTGCTGGAATTGTGTGTAAGTTGGTCTTGAGACTCATTAACCTTACCTAATTCATGTATGCCACCTTGCAGGGTGACTCCGCCTGGAGAGCTTGTGTTCGTTACCATATCTGCGTACCTTGAGGTTGGTTTTGTTTTTCTTCTTAAAAATTGGAATTTGTGTAGTTAACTTGGAGTACAGTGACTAACTTTAGTTTTACTTCTTTGGCAAATAAACGGAAATCGTTACTTGGTGCTCGTTGAGATGTCATCCCACGAGTTGCGAAGATTCTTGCAATTTTTTACTCATGAATTCCTTTCACCGGCAGCTCGAAAACTGTTGCCAGACTTCATGTCTCACAAAGGATATTCCTGTTTGCGTGTTTGGAAGGGATTCAAAAACCTCCTCACGGTAAGCAAACTACATAATTGTAATTTTGTCTGTTTCTTCAGCATTCAGGACTTCATTTTAAGTCTTATCGAGAGTTTTATTTTGTTGAATTGCAGGTCTGTTTGGAGTTTGTTCGGTTCTTCGCGACGTCCTGAAAAGTAAGTCTCTGTATCAGCGTTTGCAGTGTAGGAAACTGCTTTTATTAATTTTTTTAAATTTCTGTAATCTCAGTAATACTTTTATGTTTAGTGTTAACTTATGTAGTCGATTGTTCTTGTCCTTTTTTGCAGTGATAAACTCAGCGATATTTTTGAGCTGGTTTTCCATCCCGCTGATGAGCACGGCCAACGTAAGTAACTTTGTTAGGGAATTTTCAATTAAGGTTCGAAACCATTCAGGAATTGCATTGCTTTAAATTTTTCCTTACCGAGCTAGAAGTTTTCAGAAATTTTGCACTTCCTCTCAATCATCAGATGCGAGACTGGAAGCAATTTTGACTTGTTCTGTCATGTTTTACAGCATTTCAGGCAGTTTACATGTATTTGCTCTGAGTTCTTTTTGATTCCCCCCAAACTTGCTTTTTTTTTCTCCGTTGGCTATAGTGATTATTTTGCTTTTGAATTACCGACAGAAAGTAAAGCAATGCTCTATCCACCGATTCGCTTTTTCAATTCTGATATATCAGAGTGAGTCTCGTTCCCCAACACCAACAAACCATGTTGTCTCTTCCCGTATCCTTGCTTGGAGGCTGTTAATGTGATCGAAGTATGTTCCTGTTTGCGTAGTAATGAAGACGAAGAAGAGAGCTGTGATCGACACTTCGAGTATTTACGTGAGAGGAGAAGAAAACCTTGGAGAATGGAAACCGAGAGGGATATCACTCCTTGATGAACATCAGTCACATTTAGACAAACTGGAGAGAATTCAGGAGGTAAGAGCTGTTAGCCACAACCCGCTACTCAGGTTTCGCGCATGCGCTTCGCTCAGCGACGTTTAAAAGGTAGCGCAAAACGCGAAGACGCGGGGTCCAGCAGAGACTAAGTCGGGCTAAGGTCTGATAGAAGGAATCGTTGCTTAAGACCTGAGGTAGAATGAAATTAGATTTGTAAGGCGACTTGTAGGAAATGACTGGGAGCTAATGCAAATCGAAAATAAGTTTTCAAACTTCCAAGGGCGAAGTTAGCGTCATATCAAACTCTTTTGAAGTGATAGCCGTGACTTTACCTCTCTTATCACAATCTGTACTTTGGAACTCTTTCCCGTTTGATATCAGTCTCTTCGTTCGGATGGTTCCATTTGTTTCTGACACGAGCACCCTGGATAGCCATTCATTTCGGCTTCAGTGGGCTTTGTCCAACCTTTCAACGACCAGTTTGTGAACTGATCTTGTGGTAAATACTTTCGTGCTCTTCCCAGGTTGGTAAAGCTCGTCACATCCTGTGCCTTGGTGAGACACTCATGTCCTCAGACCGTCCCGACAACGTGTTGGTTGATCCGGGAATTTTCTCAGCCGGTAGTACATATTCAAGCCGGAGTAGCCTGGGTTCTATTTCATTATCTTCCTCGTTTCTATCAGTTGCGTCACTTCCGGCTGGGAAGCCACTGCGTTTTACAAGAGATGTCAATCCAGAGCAAGTTAAAGAAACCTTGATAAAAAAGGTAACGGATGGCTATTTTTCTTTTTTGTTAATGAAAAAAATGAAAAAGAATTAAAAGGAGAGATAAATTGCGCAAATAGTTAATGAACCTACCATTCTATTGGAGGTTAACAAGACGTCTTCCTGGAAATTCTTTGTAGCAAAGGCTGTTAGTGAAAAGATAAATAAAGTGTTACGATAGAAGTCATCTTTTTAACATGATTTGACTTTTCTTCCGTGTTGGTTTGCAGTGTCTTCGTCTCCTAATGTGGAGAAAGGACTTGTGTGAAGCTAAAGCTTTGGTGAGTGAGTTATGCATAATCACCTTTGGCGCGCTGTATTTTCTTTACTAAGAGATAAATTCAGGTGGTGCTAATGTAATTGTGACAGTCCTCAGGGTAACAGTTGCAGCGTACCGCTTAATAGTTAGACTAAACTCCCAGAGGTGATTAACACTTAACTTTTCCCTTTGATATCCATACGTTATCTAGCAAACAGGTGAAGAGATTACTCAAAGGTTTCAGGTAGAAGTTGTAATCTTGGTCTAACACCATATTCTCGTAACTTATTTACAAGGAATTAAAGGGTTTCCCCTATATCAAGACACCTACAGAAAGCCATTTCTCTTTCTCGTATTTTGTAATACATGTCTTGAGTTTCTCCTGTCCGTAGAGTCGAGCTCCTTCGTCAGAGGGCAGTGCAAGTGCGTTAGGAATACAAGAAAAAGAACAAGAAGATGAATCGAAAGTGGAGTATTACGTACCAGAGGTGTTGCTTGTCAGGAAAAAGTAAGTAATTTATCACCATGATTTTGTTTTATTATTATTATTATTATTATTATTATTATTATTATTATTATTATTATTATTACTGCTACTGGCCCCGATGTTTTTCGTTTAGCGATAGCAGGAGTGTTGCTCTGAGAGCGTTAAAAGTGTCCTTCAGGAAGAAAAATGTATCTGTGCAATTGCGCACCTACTCCTCCCCCAACCCAACATTAACTAACATGTCATTAATTGTCTGTTGTTGTGTGAGAGAAGGGGTAGGTGCGTAGTTGTTCAGATGCTTACATTGATCCATTTTATCATTTGGCCAAATATTGTACTTCCATTTCAACGAGAAGTCTCTTTTATTGTTGTTCTGTGGTTCTATTTTGTTTTTTTCTTTTACCTCGATTTCTGCATTTAAGCGGTTCCCTATTAACGGATTGTGTTCTAGACGGTTTTTATTAAGATGGCTGTATCAAGGAAGAAAGTGACATCAAAGATTTGCTAGTTAAAAAATATTATAAAGTAATTAATTCATCACTCACTGAAAGGGGATCACGAAAAGAAAATGTATGAACACATTCGAGAACACACCAATTGATTATCGTCTCTGTTACATTCCTCGATTGTAACTTTTTACAGGCCTTCCATTACAAGTCTTTTTTCAGTAGCTATTCAATTAGATAGTTCCCCTCGAAAACCTCGCAAGCATTGTTACCACGTTGAACGGCGAACTACAAGAAAATCGCGTTACTTAAGTCAGGCTCATGACGAAAGAACGATATTGATGAATTTAAAACAAAGACTCGTGATTTGACCTTGAATTTGTAATCCACAGCCCGGTGACAAGCAAGCGTGGGTACCTACACATCATGGACGACTGCAGCAGTAGATGGAGCAAATGTTATGTAGTGAGTAAAAAGTCTCATTTCAACCCTTGCACTGTTTTACATCTTGTATGGTTTTGCTTTCAATAAGAAATAGCTATGTCTTCGACTGAGAGAGAATCTTTGAAGGAGTCTGCTTGATATTCTATCGAGCATCCGTTAACCCTTTAACTCCCAGATCAAATTTGTAATCCTCCTCACTGTCAACCATACAATTCTCATAATGCCAGTTCAGAGAATTTAGTATTGGATCAACTTATTATCGCCAAATTGATATTTTTCTTTATTCTCATCACTTATCTGGTTGATGTTGTATTGATATTGTAAGGAGAAATTCTGTTCTGATCACTCATGGGAGTTAAAGGGCTAACTACAACACCATCTATACTCTGTTCACGTGAGCAAAAGCCCTCAAAAAAGTATCTTGTCTTGAATGTCTCCTTTTCTAAACCGTTTGTGCACGTGTCAGATTGTGGTTTTGCCTCCACTAGTTCGAGGTTGTTTCTTAAGAAACTGTTGTGCCTTGTCGGTGGACAAGAGGAGCGACTGTTTTATTTATCAACCCTCGGTTGGTAATGGTAGATAAATCGCTGTGGCGGTGTAGCCGCGTGGACAGAATTGAAAGCGAAGTATTATACTCATTTGGGTGGGAGCGAACTTATTGTGGGTGAAGTTAAAGGGACGAAACCTACGCAAACCATTTTGGATCGTTGCGTATTTCTGCGTTCGCGTGCAGAGGCTCCATATTTTATTGGTACCGTCTCCACTGAACCAGTGTCTCCTAGAACGGTGTAATGTTTTATTTATTTATTTTATTTCATTTCAGGTTGTTCGGAAACCTTACGTGCTTCTATATCGCCAGGAAGGTGACCCGGTGAGTGAACTCTTCCAGAAATATAATTTAAGTGACTTGAAATTGAAAACCTTAGTTCCCCTCAGTTATCCTTGATTTTGATTGATTACAGGTTGAACAGTTTCTGATCAACTTGAAACATTCTAAAGTGGAGTGCCCAGAATACTTTGTGGTGAGAATTAGTGTTTTTTTGTCTTTTGTCTTTTGTTTTGTTTTGTTTTGTTTTTTTTTTTTGGGGGGGGGGGGGGGGGGGTATACTGTAGCAACGTGAGACTCTAGGTTTTAAGGTAGTAAACTTCCCAACCAATTGCGAATTGAGTGTCAAAGTAATCCGGGATTTCTTTGGTTCTCTTTCTTTGGTTTGTGATTGGTCTAAAAACTCGCGCCATGCTCTAAACCATTCAGACGCCAAACGAAAACTAAACGTAACTTTTTTGCCCGTGTTTTCCCGCGCATTTGGTGGTTTACCTATTTTTTACTTTGACTCCTCATTGGCTTATGATGGTGCAAATTTATGTTATGGTAGGTATTTGTAATTACGTTTCATTTTTATGACAGTGAATTGAAACCGGCTCAAAGGGAACAATTGTACTGAACTAATAACAAGAAGTTTTGGTGTTAAAGCCCGTGTTTGTGGCATGATCGCAGTCCTCTGTTTTCTCATAGGAATAAAACGAAGCAAATCTTGTAAATCTTGTAACTGGAACTTTATTTTCAATCTTTTTCAGTCATTAAGTGTATTCTCAATCCGTACAAGACACTGCAGATTTCTTGTACGTAATACAACGGAGAAAGAGGAAGATGCTTATGACTGGCTGTATGCGCTCGATCCTCTGTTAGTTGGCAGTTTGAGGTATCTCACCGTGTATTTCTGAATTGCATTTACCATAAATTTCAAGAACTCACAAAGGGGTCTGTTCGTTTGCGCACAGTTCTACTTAAGGAGCTTTGGAGAAAAGAGCTGCGTGTTCACAAACTTCTGTGTGGGGTGGGCCTAGACGGTCTTGTGCTTCCCCCACCCCTTGTGGATACAGAGAAGGGTTTATTTATGCCGCCCCCCCCCCCCCCCCCCCCCCCCCCCCATTAATCAACTTAAGACCCAAAATATGGGTCTTGTCTCTATATCAAGTCCGTAGTAATCTGCTCATTGTATCACCCTATAGTAGGGTTTCCACTGGTACTAAGAGGAACTCGGGTCCGTAGAAAAAATCGGGGCAATTTTGAAATCCTTTCGTACATCGAGGAAACCTCAGGGAGCAGTAGTTTTGTGGGTGTGCGTCCGTCGTAACTGATATAACGTAAATCCGGACACACGCGCGTGGTCCATACCGGTTTTCGTGTAAATGAGGTATGTCTAGTGTTAAGTGAGTGACTCTCCTAACTTCACAGGTCGAGAAAAGGAAGCTCAAAACATGGACACAAATGATGGTGCGCGTGTAAAAGATTGTGATGTCTTAAGAAATTTTCGTTATTCATCAAAACTTGGAGATTTAATGATAAACTTCTCAAAAGTCAGGATGCTGTGTGTAAAGATGTGCATGGCATCTTCGACACGAGAGGGGCATGTCATTTCGTCAAGTGTAGCGTAAACAACGGAAGTGTTGGTGTTGAATATGACGGTTGAGTAACAGCAAAGGGGTCTAGAGTTCAGAAGTTTTTAATACGTGGTAAATTTAATATATTAAATTAGAATCCTGTGACTATATTTAATACGAGTAATGGTGTGAAAAAAAATGTCAATTTGGTAATGTCCCTATCCGGGTACCTCTTTCAACCGAAAAGTTTTCATTTTGAAAAATACGTTTATTTGTAACTGGTGCTGAAGACAAAAGTGCATCTTTTCATAATTGTATCCATAGAATGTTCCGTGAATGGAATCAATAGCCTTCGTGGGCTTACATATTTATATTTTCAAGTTATAATTGGCTGGCGGAGAACCGCCGATAAATTGAGGGGATACTTGTGGTTAAAATTTCTAGATAAATAATAAGGGGCGGGGGGGGGGGGGGTTTGTTTATGGAGATGCAAATTGTTTCATTCAAGCCGGTACTGTGCATGAACAGTGACGACAATAACAATCTTTCTTTGCGCTTTTTATATTGAAAAAGTTAGAAAAGTGTTAAATTAAATAAAAGAAAAGATAACTGTTGAAAGGTTCAGTAAATGAAGGTATAGGAAATAAAATAAATGTAGTGATGGCGAATTACACTTAGTTGTGGTCACGCGTTTAAAGACTGACAAGTACGTTCAGTAACAGTCAAGAACGTGAAATAACGATCAGATACGTCCAGTGACGTTAAAGCACACGTAGTGTTAATCAGGTACGATTGAAGACGGTTACGAAGTACGTCCAGTGACTGATAAGTACATTCAGTAACAGTCAAGAACGTGAAATGACGATCAGATACGTCCAGTGACGTTAAAGCACACATAGTGTTAATCAGGTACGATTGAAGACGGTTGCGAAGTACGTCCAGTGACTGATAAAAACGTCTGGTAACGGTCAAGAAAGTGAAATGACGATCAGATATGTCCTGTGACGTTAAAGCACACACAGTGTTAATCAAGAACGGTTGAAGACGGTTACGAAATTAAGTCAAATGCGTTCAGAGACGCGGAATACATCTACTGAAGGTCAATTTTTCCAGTGATGGTCGAGAACGTCTGATGACCGTAAATTTTCTTAGTGATGGTTAAATACGTCGAGGGTCGGTAAAGTTCGTTCCTTCACGATCAAATTCTTGAAGTGACGATCAAATACATGCAGTGACGGTGAAGTACCCTTAGTTATGGTCAAGTTCATTTAAAGACAGTTACTTACGTCGTGATTGATAAGCAAGTCTCGTAATGGTGAAAAATGTCTATCGAAGAGGTACTGACGTCCAGTGGCAATCAAGTACTTTCAGTGAAGGTCAAAATCTTCTTGTTAGGGTCAAATACATCTAGAGAAAATAATTGGACACCTTATTTTCTCTTAGGTACATTTAATAACGGTCAAATGCGTGACGTGACGGTATAATACGTCCAGTGCCGGACTAATACGTTCAGTGACAATCTAATACGGTCCTAAACGTCCATCAGTGATCAAATGTGTCCAGTGACGGTCAATAAGTTCCAATGACGGTGAAATGCATCCAGTGACGATCATATACATCTGATGGTAGTCTAATACGTCCAGTGACGGTCGTATACGTCTCGTGACGGTCAAATAACGTCCAGAGACGGTCAAATGCGTCCAGTGATGGTCAATACGTCCAGTAATAACGGTCAAACACGTCCAGTGACGGTATAAGACCTCCAGCGACAGTCTAATACGTACAGTTTCTGTTAAATACGTTCAGTGACAGTTTAGCATGTCCAATGGCAGTGAAGTACGGATGGTAACAGTAAACTTCTTAGAGTTGCGGTCAAGTGGGACAAACAGTATTATTTAAAACCCTTTATTTCAATCAAATGATATACAGTTTGCTATAAATTATGGCAATCACATAATGCAGGTGCTAAAGTCTGATTGGAAGACTGAGATTTCTGTTACGAACTTCAATGTTCGTAACAGCACCTTTAGCACCTGCACGGTTTATCGCAAAGGCTGCAGACGAAAGGTCAGGTAGCAATAACTTTGAGAGAACAAAGGAATATTTTTTATCGTACATCTCAAACTAATTTCTGAAAATTGGCAAATGTAAAACGCATCCCTTTTTATGAAGCTTTTTAAGGGGGAGGTGCTAATTATAAATCGAGTCTGACAAATTTTACGGCTGGCAAACGAACTTCGAATGCCTGGAGTGACTACGAACATTGATAGCAGAAACCCAGTGGTCTCTAACAAATCAGATAATTTACGGACTAATTTAAAGCAAGATTAAGCTAACACAGCGGTCAAACGTCGGGCATGCGTGAAGGGATCACTTCTCGCCAGCCGCGCACCGATTTCATGCGTAAAACTTCAAAGGAAAACATAAGAAACAACTGCTTTCGCTTCTTAAAATCTTTCAAAGGAAACAAAAGTAAGGAAAAGGAAACCTCGAGACTTTTCAAACACAAAGCTTTTCAAGTATAAGTATTGTGTTCATTACCATTCGGTTTTGGGCTTCAACAAAAAAGTTAAACGCTTTTAAAACACCCAGAATTAATGGCTCAGTTATACGGTTGTTTGTAACTCGTGCAAGACAACTTGGTTCTTACAACCTGAGGGTACGTCACTGAGTCGTTACAATGTTCACAATGACCACCGAGTGGGTTCAGCCTAACAATTTTCTAGTGCTTGCCAGTTGCATTTCCCCGATTTTTTCGGCGTCCCTCTGTTAATCTGTTCTCGCCATTTATTCGAGCGTTTTCCTACATTTGCTCTACCTCCAGAGTGGCTTTCGAGTTTACTTGCGCGTGAGAGAACTTAGTGACTTGAAGTAGATACAATTTTACAAGAACCGTTACAGCAACACTATATCAAATGACTGTCGCTCAGGCTGAACGTTTGGGTAAATAATGACACGATAGCACCTACTAACTTAAAAACGCCTTCCTCTGAAGGAACTTCCAAATTACCTAAGTGTTGTAAGCACATTACGTCACAAATTTAGGACTACGCATGTCCACATGTTTCTTATAGGATAACGCTAAGAACTTTAGAAATACATGCATAGCCCTGGGAGAACATACAACTGCCAAGAGAAACGTATATTTCCTTTTGATTAATAGGGTAATTTGGCATTATCAACTGAGTTGATAATGTAAATTGGCCACCCTAAAGAGTTTCAAAGTTGACGTTTCAAGCATTAGCTTTGAAACTCTTTACGGAGGCCAATTTACGTTATCAACTCAGTTGACAATATCCAATTATCCTGTTATACTCGCCCTCCGACGCAGCACAACAGTTTCTTAAGAAACTAACCCCCTTCTCTTGGATTACACACATATCTTCGATAATCAACTGCTATCTACAAGAGGTTATTTACTCTGGATGAACAATCAGAAATCAGCGATCCATTGCTCGAAGAATGTAACCGACTGTTCTCGAACAAGGATAACTTTACGTCATTGGAACAATGAATTTTAGAAATAGAAGTGGAGCGACTGTCCGCCATCCAATACACCTACTAAAGGATTGCGAGACACGCATATGTGATACTGGGCATCGAGCAATGAGTCACGCAAACCTGTGAATGGAAACCACTGAATTGATAAAGCGCATATAAAAATAGGAATTTTGTAAAACAATAAGTCGTTGATTGTTGTCTGGAAAGCAAACTCACGGTGTAAGTTCAATAGGAGAGAAACTTGAATGTTTCAGCAGTTGAACGTCAAGGAGAAATATCCACAATTTAGTAGATGACTTGAACACGATATCTTAATTACACAAAGATAAAAATGGAACTCTGTTATTCCTCTGTCTTGCTCTCATCATCTTCTTCGGCGTCATCGTCTTCTCCTTCGTCTGCCTCGTCATCATCCTCTTGTTCAACTCCTTCATCTTCTTCCTCATCCTCCTCATCGTCTTCCTCTCCTTCGAGAATGGCTTCCTCCTTAAAAAGTATATAATACTGTTAACTTCCACTTCAAGCCTGTTCTAAGCAAAATCTGCGTCCGAGACTGACTTGCATGGTTGCTAAAGCTTGAGTTTCTTTGGCAGGAAGGGATAAGGCGTACGACTTATACCCCCAACTCCCCACCCCAGATAAGATGGTGTGGTCCAGTTTTTCTGCTAATATTCAACACTAATATGTAACACACTTTAAAAATTTTTCGCAGAAGGTGAATAATCGGTTTAGTGCAATTGCTCAGGCGTTTTCTAATTCTGTCCAAGTATACAACACAATGATTCAGTCAGTGCCTGATGTATATGCATTCCCAATTGACACAAGCATTATATGCAAGCAAATCTTCCCCAAATGAAAACACCATGTGCCTTTTTTCCACAACTACCTCTCCCCTCTTTGCCCAAACTTAATATAGATGTAACCTTTATAACCTCATTTCCCCACCCCTCCCCTCCTCTTCAAAATTGACCCTATCAACAACTGTTCCTCGATGTCTTACCCCCTGCTCTGCTTCCTCATCACCATCTTCATCCTCTTCCTCCAGCTCATACACAACAGGTGTCTCCCCCTCCTCTCCTTCTGCCAATTCTTCTTCTTCTCCCTCTTCAACAACCACTTCTTCCTCTTCTTCATCTTCATCATCATCATCCTCTTCTTCTTCTTCGTCTTCTCCTTCCCCCTCATCACCCAAATCATCTTCATCTTCTTCCTCCACTACTACTACATCATCCTGTGCATAAAAGCAGACAAGAGGATTTAGTTGAGATGCAATAACATGAACGTGATTCATGAGAGCTTTGCAAGGTCCAAAGTTCCCCATGGACATTCAGTCATATTCCTGATAAATGCACTGTGATGTACTAATCAACAATTTCAATCAGTCCATCAGCCAGTCAGTCAGTCTTTACAGTGGCCAATTTACGTTATCAAGTCTGTTGATAATACTAAATTACAGTATTAGTCAGTTGCTCAGTTAGTCTACCGACTGCCAGCCAGCCAGTAATTCAGCCACTCAGCCAGTCAATCAGTCAGTCTCTAGATCACCCACCTCCTCACTAAATTCCAAATAATCAGTTAATTTACCAGGTAAATTGGGGATTTTTTGGTAAATTTTTTTTGTAAAGAACTGAGGAGACATTACTTGATTACAAGTTGTCCTTGTAGCATCATACATATAAAAACTACCTCTACAACAATTTGGTAGACTATAAATGAAAGAGATATGACCTGATCTTCTGACTCATCATCCTCAACATCATCATCATCTTCCTCATCCTCTTCCTGAATTCCACTTGTGGAACCCTACAAATAAATTGAAAAAAATATTAAGCTGCTGCAAAACTATATCTACTTTACTCTTTAACGACAAGAGGATGTGTGTTCATTTACATTACACATGTAAAGTACAGAGGCTTGCACAGACAAGACTGGCTTGAAAAGTTATTGTAACATATTTTGGTTTCTTTCCCACCTAGGGTACTCCTGAAGCAACTTCTCCTTGAGAGTTAACCCTCACCCCTCCCTCCCAATATTTCACCAAGTTAAAAACAAAAAAAGTGACACCTTCTGCATGTCTCCCCACAAAAATGATTTGCTTTTCACAAGAATGACACACTTTTTTTTTTTTTATACAAAACAACCAGTACCAAGACTCATTTTGAGAACTACAGTGGATGGTTTACAAACAGTCCATTATAACACTGTAACAAAACACAACATACCAAGAAATACTGCAATGGGTTTGGCCATATGTCATCTTTAATTGTGTCTCCTAACTCATCTCCAGACTCTTGATTTGTGAACCATCTAAAAAAGGTTTGTGGTTCTTCCCCTTTCATTATTTCTAGTTTAGTTCTTCTCTGTCTCCTGTATCGCTCAGTAAGGTCCTGTTGAGAGATCACATGATGAATACATTAATAATATACCTGGAAAAATTATGTGCTTCTGATTGGCTGAAAACTAGTGCATTTTACATGTAAAAGGAGTGTAAAGTTGTAACACCAGAGCAAATTACAAATAATTTGCGCTCCCAAAATTTCCTTTGTTTTAACTTTCTATAATGATTTTTTCATGCAAATTACAAATAACTAATAACATGATTTCTCGTGTAATTTGGTGTATATAGGCACTTGTAAATTTTTCAGACTACAAATTGCACTCTCCCTTTGGGTTTTTGCAATCTTGTTGTCTTTAAGAAAATCACTTGTACTTACTTACACCAAATTGCACTCAAACTCATGTTATCACCTATACAAATTAATGACAGGGTATGTAATGGTCAGCACATTCAATATGATTGGAATACAAACTTACAAACCCATTGAGTATCATAACTATTACATCTTATTAACCCTTTAACTCCCAGAAGTGATTAACATAAAACTTCTCCCTACAATATCCATACATTCTTCAGCAATCAGATAATGAGAATAGTCAAATTTATCTGGTAGAAGCTGCTATCTTGATCTAGCACCAAGTTCTCATAACTAATTTACAAGGAAATGTGTAGAAGCTACAGGGGAGAATTAATGATCAGATCTTGGGAGTTAAAGGATTAACTACATGTATTGAGAGATGATACTATGCCGTCCAAAATAACCCTTAATTTACGGTATAAGCACATGACACCTCAGCAGTATCTAATAAAAATACAACAAATAATATAACCTACCATTCCTCCTTTCCACTTTATAGGAGTCGCCCTTGATAACTGATGGCCATGTTCATTGACAATAACTTCCTTAAAGAGCACTTCATTTGTAAAATATGGATTCTCTGCAAACCCCTGAAATAGGACCACAAGGTTAATATGAATGATCTTCAAAACCTTCACACTTTCTGAAGTAATCCCTACACAACTCCTTATAATGTCAAAATTTCATTAGCACTCAATACCAGTTATGCCACAAAAGCTTCACAAAGAAAGAGTAAATAAAAGCTAAGAAAGGACTTACAAATTTTATTCTGTAACCAGACTTAATATCTTCAAACTCTTCAACTTCTAAGGATGTCATGTACTGCAAAGCTTCCTCATCTTCCTCATCTATATACAACTGCATCTGTGGATGATTTATGAACTGTGCAACAAATGTCAAGGAATTTTTACCTGAGCTTTTTCTACCACAGATAGTGTACAGCAATCAATTTCCAACTTATGAGTTTCAAAACTGATTTGAGAAACTACCATATCACAGATGAAAAATTCAACATGCTATAATATAAATTTCAAGGCTTGCCTATGTGATATGAACTTAGAAAATGCATTGTATTTCTGAGATTAAGTCGTGTGTGTAAATTGTTCAAAAATTATAGACCAGAGTGATGTCAAGAAATATAGAAGAGAATACTTTACATCGATGGGAGAAAACACTTCACAATGGCCCTATGTACTGACGGAAGACAGTACAGACAATCAAAATTCAGTAGGAGAATTTTACAATATCAACTAGAGAATTCTTTCATCTCAATTGGACACCTTGCTGTACTCAAGTTCATGCATTTTAAAATGCCAGGTTTCTTGAATGTCAATGTAAATAATAACAATACATTATTTTAGTAGAAAATAAAACAAGGCATTTAATTCCAAAGGATTGAATTAGATGCCACCCAACCTTAAAAACTTTATTATCCAGCTATAGATCAGTTAATCTTTCTGAAATAAATGTAGCTCAAACTAATTATTTTCAGCATTAAATTTACTGGAAAATATATATTTATTGATGTCAAGCCACTTTCTGTTTCACAGTCCTATGACAAATGACCTATTTAAAATTTCCAGTCCCACATCGTCTTCTGTTTCACTTCCCAAGGAATTTCACTGGGGTCTGGTAACTAGAATGCAGATGTCCTGTTCTTCCTCCATCTTGATTTGTGGCTCTCACTCAACTTGGTCAAATATTCACTGATTTTCTCGCATCTATCACTCTTCAACATCAAAGACTTAAATATTTCGCATACTGCGAAAAGATAGCGATAAAAAAATGTAGTGTTGGCTGCGTAAAGCATCATAAGTGGTTCTTGGTGAATTCGGTTAGGGAGTAAAGTGGGTCAGTTCCTCTTATTGCTTCCAAAATGAAAATTATGGTCGGTAAGGGTTGCTTAGGAAGGTCTACACGAGCAAGACATCTGTTCTTTAAGGGATTTACCAAATTAAAAGCGGTACGGATAACATGTTTTAGGTGAATGAACGACATCGAGGTGATATTTAGGATGCAAATGTCATATCGTTGCGTTACTCGAAGACTACATATGACAAACAAGAGATCTATTCGTGCATTTATTAATATTGTTCACGAATAAAGAAAAGCTTCCTTCGCAACCGATCATCTTATGTACAATGAAATGTAAATTTAACAATTATATTTTATTTCGCTAAGTAAAAGAAGATTACGGGAATTAAGCTTAACTTGTGATTTCCTTCTTCGACAAACGCTAAAATGTTCCAGGCACAGGTCACAGACCTTCACCCAGTGTACAAAACGAAAGATGTGTAGATAAATTTTAAGACAAAGCAAAAGTAACAAAAGGATACAACCGTCATCCAGAAGTTTGGTATCTTTTTCGTGAGGTCTGTTCTCTGCTCAAAGTGTGGTTTTCGAAGTCGGTTGTACTTCTGCTCAACTTTTAAAATCTCCTCGGACGCTTGCTCATTTAGCGCGTCGATTTGATTCTGCACAGCATTGATTTCTTCAATAGTTTCTTGCTGATCGGAATGCGAATTTTGTGCTCCGTCAACGGGGTCGACCTTCCGGATCTTATTTGGAGTTACACTTAGATTAGACATGATAGAATACACGACTAATTCTCTAAGCTCATTCCAAGTTTCCGAACTTTCTCTGAGTTCGGAGATGCCCGCGTTCTTCTTGTCTACTTGGGAGTGTCCGCTGACAAGATATAAGCTGTTTTGGCGCTCTTTTCTGGTTCAGGGGTAAGGGTGTCTTGAGGGGTATCGGGGAGGGTGGGTAGGGATTCGCCATTAGATAAATACGTATTCCGAAAATATAGAGACTCTGGGGCTGATCGAAAATAACTTGGTAAAGAAAGCGTGATTATAAGCGTCTTCCGCGGATAATTTCTCGACTGGCCTACACGGGACCGGTCTTTAAGCTGTGTATGACGTTTGGGTGCGTATTCGTAATAAGCGTTTATCTGTTTACAGATTGAATAAAACATCAGAAAATAAGGGTCGTGAATAATTGAAATTTACCTCAGTGGAGGTTAAAATGGCGAAAGTGAAGTGACTTCCAAGATAAGATAAGATAGGCTGAGGAAAACAGAAGTCGAGTGAATGAGTTGGAAAACTGGGTGAATCACAACCCCTTTCCCCTCGAAAGGGATGTTCGCTAAACTTATCGTGCACAGATGTCTCAAAGATTTCTTAATGATATGTTATGACATACAAACCATGCTTAAAATTCATAGCAAAGAGTCCTGCAATTTATCTGTTGGTTTATATATTCTCCATATAGATAAATGTACCGTAATTCTCCCGCTTTGCAGAATTTCTCCCACCGAAAATGGAGGTCAATCACTCACTCACTCATGCCCATTATTTCGTGTGGTACGTAGGGCGGCATAGAGGTCAATGACTTAAATTCAAGGTTCCCTTTGACAGGAAATGGGGTAAATACCCGTGACGGAAAACCTTAAAGAGATGTGAAATGAAATTTGTGACTATAAAGATTGCTTGTTGTTGTTACCTTGCTCAAGCTTTTCTCAGAGGGCAGTTCGAAGTATATAAAGGAGCGCCCAAGATCAGGGGTGTACAATGTATTTTCTAAGGAATCAGAGGGCTCCTGCGACACGTTGGAACCTAGAAACGTTCCGTCGATTTTTTCGTTTTCCGAAGAGTAACTTTTCTCAACCCTGAGACAAATAGAAAAAAAAGGCTTGATTATTCAGTCTATCACTCTGGCGACCGATAAATTACTTTCAGCATCGATAATCTAGAGACAGCAATTTATATTCACAATAACTTCATTTCTATGGAGCGATTGACAAGTGTAAGTGGAACTCATCGTCTTGCCCTGAAATAGAAAGCCTGGAACGGAGGCGAATAATACCCGGCGAGCTTGGCGGTCTGATTTGTCATAGAACGGTTCGGTTACGCAGCTCTTAGAAGAAAAAAACCCACGTGAATGTGATGTAACTTAGATTAATTCTACCAAAGTAGTAGAGATATTTCCAATTTTCTATTTCAAATTCAAAGAAAGCGATGTTGAGATCTACCTTAATAGCCGTAAGAAGTGCTGTTCTACAGCCTGAGCATTCCAAACTGCTAAATTACGTTCAGCTGTCGCGTTTATTGGGGACAAAGTTGAAATATTGCACAGCCCAGTCGAGTCCTAACACGAAAGCAGCTGCGTCGAAAGAAAGCGTTGATTCAGATCAGAAATCTTCGCAGCCCGAAATGAAAGCAGCAGAACCTGCCCAAGAAGTTAAAGAAACCGAAAACGATCGTCTTTTAAAAGAAAAAGAAAGTTTGCTAAAAGATCTTCAGGTAGGCGAAGGGCTCTGTCGTAATTGAGGATGACTTTAATAGGAGGAGGACACTGTAGTAGCACTCGAAAGGAGATTACGAAGATTGGAATTCAGAAGATCAATTTATTTGTTATCTTAATTGTAAGACATATTCGATGCCGGGAAATTTTGTACAGAAGATGTTGAGGAACGGTAAAATTCACAGAGGTGATGCCTTTGTGATAGTGCTCTAGATCTCGAGTCATTTGGTAAGTAAGTTACGTCAGCGCAGACAGTTAGGAAAAGGTTACATTGCAACGTCTTTCATGTCAGCAATATTTATGGATTGATTCAAAAGAGAAGGATAAATTATTGGCACCAATTATTGTATAGCGTATGTTCGTATTCAGTTGCATAATGTTCGTAGAGATAGCATTTAAATTAGTCAAAGGAAGAGTTTTTGCGAGGTTGGTTAGTTACGATTGGTTGTTTACAGGGTTTCATTTCTAGGCATGAGCGCTGTGAATGAGTCCCTTGTGAGTGACTCTATCACATGATGTAATCTGTCAATCCATTGCCTAATCAGGCAATGAATCAAGCAAGGCTGGTTTTCAATAAGATGATGTCAGAGTTATATAATCAAGTGAAATGAAACCAAAGGAAGAAAAATATTAGCACCACTTACCACTACATGAAAACTGGACTGTTCAAGTCATGAGATGGCCTGAGATTGGTGAAACTGGCCTAGTGATTGGTTGGTTTTTCTGCTTGTGACTTTAACAAGGTAGTTTTCACTGGATCATAAGTTTGGGAGTCATGAGCAGAATAGGAAGGAGATGAAACTGTTCTGGTTCTTCTGACTCAGTTTAGACAATCAGATTTTAATTTTACTGGGTCAGAAACGCTACTATTATCAACTGCGATTTTCAAACACTTTGTATCCTACATATGGAACGAAAAAAAAAAAATTAACTGACAACTTTTCTATCTCAGGACAGGTACAAACGCTCCCTAGCAGATAATGAGAACATACTGTCCCGCAGCAGAAAGCAAGTAGATGAAGCCAGGCTGTTTGGTATTCAGGCCTTCTCCAAAGACCTGCTTGAAGTTGCTGACATATTAGGAAAAGCAACAGAAACAGTTCCCAAGGAGGAGATAGATAAGAATACTCACCTGAAGAACTTGTATGATGGGCTTCTAATGACTGAAGCCCAGTTACAGAAGGTTTTCAAAAAGAATGGTTTGGAGAAAGTGTATCCACTAGATGAAAAATTTGATCCACATAGTCATGAAGCATTGTTTCAGATTCCTTTACCAGATAAAGAGAAAGGCACTGTTGCTGTTGTGGAAAAAGTTGGATATAAACTGCATGGAAGGACACTTAGACCAGCTCTTGTGGGTGTTGTGAAGGAATAGAATATTGGATGTAGCTTTTATTGATTCAAAATTATAGGTTTCTGGATTTTAACTATGGTTAGTGGTGGTGGTGAGGAAGATTAAAATAATCCTGGCAACTGCACCCTTGTCAGATTGAGTCACACTCAAATTTGTAATATCGTTGTCACATGCATTTAGGTGTGAATAAGTATTTCTCTAACATCATGCATCTACCTGCAGCGTCCCCTTTAGCTATTCAATAATACCAGGGCAAAATGTACGTGTGCTTCATCCAGGTTCATGCATTAAAAAATATGTACATGGAACCTGCCTTTCTTTCATTTCCCTCTTACCTTCCAAATATTAAGTTGACTTATATTGAGCTCTTTAAAAATCAGATCTCCCTTTTCTCGCTCCTCGTTTATCTTATTGTCTTCATCTGCTCAATATGCTGAAAGCTAGAATCTAAATAATGATGGGAGAAGTTGTTACAACATAACAACAACCCTTTAACAGAACAGATCTCTCTTTTCTTGCTCATTATTTATGTAATTGCCTTCATTTGCTCAATGTTTGTTGAAATCTAGAACTTAAACAATGCAGAGAGAAATTGTTACAAGACAACAACTGCTCTTGAACATTACCAAAGTGATACCTTTTATAGCTTATATTACCTTGTCATGTTCACTTTACTGGTGTTCAATTTTTTCGTAGTTCTTTAACCATAAACCAATATATTGATATCTGTTGTAAATGTGTATCACATTCTGATAGTTAATTTGTGCTAAATGGAATTTTTTTAAGCCATATGAAGTTTTCCTTTGTACTTTGAAATTGAAATTGGACATAGATGGAAAACATTTTTTCAAAATTTACTTTATTTGTAATACTTGTATCCTCCTAGAGCAAAATTCAGTTTTGAACAATAACATCAGTAATTACCAAACATATTTTGTGTGATTGTATCTGGTAAATTAAGTTTGGCAAACTCTATCCTAAACAATTGACAGGTTCCCTATAAGAAAACCTTGTTCAGCAAGGCTTTTGAGGTTAATTTGGAAGATTCAAGACAAATTTGCTCCTCAATGTTACTTTAATAAACTGGACTGGCTAAGATTTTGCAAAGTCACTGCTTTATATTCTTTTAGTCATTTGGCTTGTTCTTCCTGCAAAAATCTTGTCAAGAGTAATTCCTTCACAAGCTATTTAAGCATGTCAATATTCTTATTTACAGCATTCTAGATACAAACTCATTCTGACTAGATGAAGTTTATGGAAGTTATTTATATATTCCTTTATCAGCATCTTTCATCCACTTTAACCCTTTAACTCCCAGATCAAATTTGTAATTCTCCTTACTGTCAACCATACAATTCTTATAATGTTAGTTCAGAGAATTTAGTATTGGATCAACTAATTATCCCCAAATTGATATTTTTCTTTATTCTCATCACTTATCTGGTTGATATTGTATTGATATTGTGAGGAGAAATTCTGTCTTGGTCACTCATGAGAGTGAAAGGGTCAAAGTACTGAGTCTTTTTACTGGCTGCAGAAGCAATTTGCTCTTGTGGTTTTCCATAAATAGGATTTTTACACTTCTTATGAAGTTTACATAGTTAGTATTTGTGTATTTTTCTTAAGGAAAAATTTGGAGCCCCACTATGTTGTGTGTTCTGCACCTTCGTCTCTCGTTCTTATGACCTCTTCAAATGTATTTCTTCTTCCTAGTCTTATTTTAGCATTTTGATCAAGTGAAAGCGGTTAAATAAATAAATGGCTGGTTAACACTTTGACCTCTAATAGTGACTAGCATCTACTTTCTCCTTACAATATCACCCCTGAATCAAACTTTAGGTGGCGAGGATTAAGGAAATGAACACCAACTGAAGAAGTTCTTGATTTCTCCTTGTCAGTATCTTAGAAAATGTATAGAGAAAGGTATGGAGAATATACACACTGATGTTAGGATGTAAACAATGTATAAAGGGTTTATAGCTTATACTGTAATCTGAAGACATCATTTGTTTTTTGTATTTCATCTTCGGAGGTTACTTTTTATAAGTCAGAGTCGTAAGGGATGAAACCACTTCTTCCTCGTAACTAACTTACCTTTCAATAATAGTTGTTGCTGACTTGGGATCAGCTTCCAATATTTTTACGAGGGATGATGTCATCAGTTGTACCTTTCAGTTTTAAATCCTTCACATTGGACGAAACTCTTTCCTAAACCATCTCACTCTGATCCTTGCTCGTAAACAAAATTTAGGTGCGCGGTCGTTGTGATGTCTTAAACGACACGAACAGGACGATTATTTTTTTGTGTGCACTTTGCGAGGACTTAATACATTGAGAATCTCAAACCAGCGGGATGGAACACCTTATTAATAGGCATTTAGATATTCTAGTCACTATAAGACGTTGGTGGTTGATGGTAAACATTTGCTCGAAGGGAGAGCGAGAACATGGAGCAATCCCAGAAAATATCTCTTATTTTTTGGCCGAGGGAAGAAGGGCAATTTTTCTAATGACTACTTCTTTGACTAGGGGTGTGTGCTGGATAGAGTTAGCCTTAAGATTTTTTTAGTCACATGCATTGGATTGATAATGAAATCTCAAGGTAGCACAGTTGGAAATGGAGGCTCTGTCGGATCAATATCAGAATCTGGGTAACTGCCCACCCACCCCTCCCCTAACTCAATAAAAGTCAATTGATAACAATTTAGGGTTAATGCTGGGTTAGGAGAGGGGTAGGTGGGCGGTTGCCCAGATACTGGTATTGATCCGCTCTGTCCATACTGAGTTAGGAGGAAGGGGAGGGGCGGCGGCAAAGGGTTTATACATGACATGTGATAGGGCCAAAATTTATATATGACACGTGAATTTGACAGAAAGGCGAGTATGATTCATGAATGAATTTTCATTTTGAAGTAATCTGTGATCTGTTACTGAACAGAAGGACGGCAGCATAGAATCTATTTGTGGAACAGAGCACGTAAACCTCGGATACCGTTTATAAGCTCCTTTTTTCTGCGGCAGGGCTCTAGCGGACAAACTTTTTGAGGCGTTGTTTGCCTTGCCGCTTTTCTTTTTCAGAACAACCTCCAAAACTTTGCACACCCACTCAATATTTTCAAAAATTAATTTTCTCCTTGAAAACACTGGAAATAGGAAAATTGTCGTCAACGACAACAAAATGCTTCGGTTTTCAATACCATCCCCCTTTTTCTACGCAACTTTCGCTGAATTTTAAACCTCGTGCACTTGAACCCGCGTTATTGACCGCATACCTGTGATGTAACATTTCCTTATTCTACTCGGCCGTGCCCGGATGTTACAGGAACTGATCGACCGTAATTTCTTCTCACTAAGTGCCAGAAATCGCTTATTCCTCACAAAATTCACACGTTAAAAAGCACAGAAGGGAATGAAGAAATGGGTGCATTTAATAAAGATAGTACCTGATAAAATGGAGTAGGTACTGAACGAAGTTAACAGTGATTGAAGTCTTACATACGATGGTTTCCGCCTTGAATATGTAATCATAGAATATCACGAAGTAAACAGACAAATAAAAGGAGAAAGTACTGAATGTAACGAAAGAAGTATCCAGCATCATGAAAGTAACTCCCAATTTAATGGAAATAAGGGGAACATTTTTGTTTTTAATGTGAGCTTCTGACACAGGCTGTTGTAACATGGGTTGCTTTCCCGTATTTCGACGTGAGTGACTCACAGATTTGTGCCATTGTACTCACTATTGACAATTTACATATTATGATTTGCATTTGCACTTGCTCAGTAGTCTTACTGGAAGTTTGTGCCCGGGTGTATTACGAGCATGTTTTTCAGCCTTACGGACAGTTAGCAGTTTTACCTAGCTTTTATTTGATCTTAAGATGGGCGGTTGGTTCATTTATCCAGTGATTTGTTCTCTTAGTTATCAAATTATTTTTCTATTTGAATCTTGTCAAGTTTCGTAGTAGGGGTCATTTTAAGTATGAGCCTTGGTTCCTACTCAGCTTTCCTGCCTTTTTTACTCTTTGAGGTTTTTCGGGCAGGTTTTTTCTGGCCTCCGTCTGATCGCATTCATTTATTGTGGGCGGTTGCTCAGCTCTTAGTTTGGCGTCCTCAGTCATTCGTCCCTTCTTCGCGCTCGGGCAAACTCTGCCACTTCCGAAAACACGCCTGATATGAATCCTTCAATTCATTCCACCCCAAGTCTTGAATTATAATTTAAGTATTTAAATCCAACAGCTCTTAAGATGTTCTTCCCTATTGAGCAATTGTCTCAACACACCGGTGAATAAACACAATCTCTGTAATACTAACTACAATGGCTATCCCAAATTGGCATTGTGTTTCCGATTTGTCGAATGAAGGGTCTTGATTCAAAAGACAATCGTGTAATGATCCTCTTTCAAAGTGTGTGTAGTGTCCTTTCACAAAACAAACTTTAATTTACAAAGAAACGTAATTGTCACGAGTAAGATTTAAACTGGTTTTCAAGTCTTTGACAACCCAGTGAATGACCTCTTGATTTTATGTTGACCTTGTATAAAGTCGTTTAACCACTTAAGACGGTTAACAACATTTATTTTAGCCGGTTGTATCATTCACCATGACAAATTTTACGTGGAAAGAAAAACCTCCGAGTCTTGCTCAGTCCCTCTGCTTTCCTGCCACGAGAGCGACGCCTTACGAAACTTTACATGTGTTGATTATTATTTTAGTTTTCAATATATTTTTTTCACTCACAGCCACGTTTGGCAACATAGTCATTTTTCTTGCTTTAAATAAGGAATCTTCTTTTCATCCGCCTTCGAAACTGCTGTTTCGATGTCTTGCCGCAACCGATCTATGCGTTGGAGTAGTAACACAGCCAATGTTTGTCATCTACCAGATATCCTTGGTCGCTGAGCGTTTCCATATTTGCACCGCCGCTGCAATGGTCTCGTATGTTACTGGCACGTTTCTGTGCAACGTTTCACTGGCAACACTAACTGTAATAAGTGTGGATCGACTTCTCGCTTTGCAATTAAAGATGAGATACAGACAGGCTGTGACAATTCGACGAGTTCGCGCGGTAGTCGCCGCCCTCTGGTTACAGAGTTTCGCCGTAAGTATGTTGGTTTTTAAAAACAGGCTTGTGTACTTTAGTTTGAGTTGCGCGTTGACATTACTTAGCCTAGTGGCCTCGACATGTTGTTACTTGAAAATGTACTGCACACTTCGCCGCCAAAGAACACAACGGGTGCATGATTCACAGTATCAGTTAGTAGGGCAACAGATCGGAACAGCTTCCATTGGTCTCCAAAGTGGTACAGGGTATATGAAGACTGTTTCCAGCGTCTTAGTTTTCCATCTTGTTCTCATTTTATGCTTTCTGCCTTATACAATGGTGCGTATCATGGTAGCTATAGCTGGTAGAAGGCTTTTGGTGGCAGAAGCCGTTTCGTCTTCTGTGGTTTACCTCAACTCGACTTTAAATCCACTTTTCTATTGCTGGAAAATTAAAGAGATCAGGCATGAGGTGAAGCAGATATTCCGCCAAAGATTCTGTTCACAACACTGAATAAAGTTATAAACTCCCAAAGACTGGTTTAGGGCAGTGAAAGAGGAGACGAACGCTATGATGAAGGAAATGCGAAATCGTAGGCTAAATCTTGGGAACTAATACACCATTCCGACCAAAACTAAAACGTGCGTTTACAGCTGTTTCGTCAAACATGGCTTAGCTTTGAAAAAAACTTACAATCTTTCTTATCCTATTTACATGGTTTAGCTTTGTTTTCCTCGTTGAGGCTGCTTAAACCAATGTTTGTCGACTTCAAACTTAGGCTTCTTGAACCATATGAAAAATTCCAGCGGTTTTTTTGTTCTCTGTTTCCGATTTTCATTCAGTTAGACATGGTTTCATTAGATATGTTTTGCTTATGTCAATGGGATATGATTTACTTATGATTTGCTCTTCTTGAACTGCAAAAGTAGCTTTCAGTACGTTTAATTCCGTGGAATAAACACCAAAGACTATTTTTTATCGATTCATTACACTAAAACCATATGTATTAAAAATGAAAATTTGGGGATAAATGTTGAAATTGTTTAGCTCCGCCCAGTTGTTTAATCTTCATAACGCAATAGAGATGAACTTGGCAACCGGGAACATATTACTTTTAAAGACTTCCTGTCTGAAACTTTTAAACCTCTACCACCGCCTAAGGAAGCATAGGAAATGATGTTAGTTTAAACATCTTGATATCTTGATACTGGAATTAATATTAGCAAATAACCTACAAACTAACAAATACTTGAGAACGTAACAAGCTAAACAAATTTTCCAAAAACAAAAATGAGCCCTACAACTTGCTCTGCTATGGAATTTGTAATAATATCAATCGTTTACAGGAAATTACAGGAAAAAAGCCGTTCCTTCATGTTCTGATTATATCTTGGTTTTTTTGGCTGCTGTTTTGTTATGTTTTTAAACCAAATAAAGGTAACGTAATGTTCTCATTATTATTGTAGTAACACCTTTAGATTCGAGGTGGCTGTAAGAATAAAGAGGTGTTGTTATACATAAATAGACTGAGATTGATGGTATTGTTAGACATCTTTTGTGGATGAGACTATCGCTCTTTTAGTATCTAATTCAGAAATATATTGGGCCAGAAAACTCTCCTGATAGTAAAATCTCTTTCTTACTCCGTAGATATGTAATTAGTAATTTCTACAACAGTATTGTTAGTTTTAAAATCGGGGCCCCAATGGATACCGACTTCGCCGCTGAATGAGA